TGGCGTGTGTTGGCGGAGCCGAAAGGACAATCCTGTCAACAAGTGGTATTTCGAGCGGTCGAGGGGTACGTTAAAGTTCAAAGACATGAACTGGACCATGTTCTGGACGACACCAAAGCTGGCGTTGGACGAGCAGACATTCCACGACTACGAGGCTGTGTGTCGTGGTATTGAGCCGTCATGGGCGGATAAGAAGCACGTAGTCGACTGAAAGAACAAGCAAAGCGAATTGTAAACCTGATGGAACGGGTTGTAAACAAGATATGTAATGTGACTTTGCCTTCCCTCGCTTCTGCGCTCGGGTGAAGACCCACGGCTCATCACAGGACCATCAAGAGCCACACCCACCTAGCGGTAGCCGCCTGCCAGACCTTAATTACTAGTATGTACATGGCTCCTGGCGGCGTTTAGACGTGGGTCTCCTCGTCCATTCCCATCTAATACTACCTACTATGTTGTGGAAGTTTCATGTTGGGGTGTGGAGGAGGAGGGAGATGTATTTTGCATATACTAGATAGGCTACCTCGGTACCTCTAGGTAGCTACGCCGGACCGATATGAGGTATGGCGTCATTCATTCATCCTGGCCCACGGCAACTATTTGTCTTTGTCTGGTGTTTCTGGCGAGAATGGCCCGGTCCAGCAGCCCTCCGGGGCAAGCGCAGGGCAATGTACACGTGTGCATTGTGTGCACTGTCTACGATGGCTTCCTTGATCTCGCGTATATCTCGAACCACTCGCAGACCAATAGCCCGGCGCAGCTATCACCTCATGTACCTAGCCACCAGAAACGGTTGCTTCGCAGAAGCCCTGGCGGGGCGGTCACGAAGGGGGGAAAAATTAGATTCTTGACCCCACCATGACTCGAGAATGTAGGCAGCGATAAAAGCTGGAGGCGGGGTGATAAGGGACGGGGTAGGGGGTGTCCCTAGTCGCCATGTGTAGACCACCCACCTATAAGTAGGTACCTAAGTAAGCATCCGTACGTACAAGTAGCCAGCTCTGGCGGGGCAGACCTGCGCGGTGGACAGCGAGAACAGGTGCAAACAGTGAAATAGATATGTCAGGAAAGAGTGTGGCGGGCGAGAGAGAGTCAGACGTGAATTTGGCGAAACATACTAGACTAGTTTTTGCCCATATTACCTAAAACATGCCTCGCTGTCAACTTTGTCAAGACTGGCGGTGCTTGGTCACGGCGATTACCTAAGGTAGGCAGGGTGAACTGCTTGCTTGAAGCGTCTAGAAGTTTCGCGACGTCGCAGCAAAACTTCGACAGCGGGCCCCCGGTGGCCGCGCCGGGGGTGTGGCTAGGGAGGGGTTGCCCGGGTGCGGCTAGCCTACGCCAGACTTCCACGGCCGTGTCCTGGGTCCCTCCCTCGCCCACCTTATTAGGTAGTCGATACGTTTGGTGCGCATTTGGGCAGCTTTTTTCCCTCCTTACTTAAGAGTCGCCTCTCTATCCTGGTGCGTCTGATAGCGACTAAAGCATATCCAAAGCACTGCACACCACCGGGCCTCACTGTATCACCGACCGCCCGCGTCTCCCACCTTCACTCACCGCCCCGAACCGCTTCCCCTCGACGTCTGTTGCTGGCACGCTTTTCTCGCCTCGCCTCGCCTTGCCAGCTCGCATCGACTGACTCTCCTCCGCCAGAATTCTATTCTTCGCGGCCATCCCTAGTTGTTGACTCTTCCCTAGACAAGATGAGCGTCGTCGGTATGCCCGCCGCCCCCCGAGACGCCCATGCGCACTGGCCTCTCTTCTCCCCCGGCCCGTCTGCTGACTTCGGTGTCTTCCAGGTGTTGATTTCGGAACGCTTAACACGGCTATCGCCGTAGCGAGGAATCGAGGCGTCGATGTTGTGCGTATTACATACTCCTTCCACTGTTTCTGCCGCTATAGGCCCGTCCCTTTGGCTGACAATCGCTGGCGGTTTAGATTACCAATGAAGTGTCAAACCGTGCAACCCCGTAAGTGCCACAGCTGCTGGCCAACGATATGTCTTCTCAGCTAACACCGGCTACCAGTTCCCTCGTCGGATTTGGCCCCAAATCCCGCTACCTTGGCGAGCCGGCTAAAACACAAGAAATCTCCAACCTTAAGAATACCGTCTCCTCTCTAAAGCGCCTTGCCGGACGTGCCCTCAAAGACCCTGACGTTCAAATCGAGCAACAATATGTCTCGGCTGCCCTTGTGGACTGCAATGGCCAGGTTGGCGCTGAGGTCTCCTACCAGGGCAAGAAGGAGAAGTTCTCCGCCACACAGCTTGTTGCTATGTTCCTGAGCAAGATCAAACAGACTGCTGCTACCGAACTTAAACTCCCAGTAGCTGACGTTGTCATGAGTGTGCCGCCATGGTTCACCGACGTCCAGCGACGAAGCATCCTCGATGCTGCTGAGATCGCTGGTCTAAAGCCTCTGCGCATCATGAACGACACCACCGCAGCGGCCTTGGGCTATGGAATCACAAAGCTTGATCTGCCTGCTGAAGATGAGAAGCCTCGCCGTGTCGTCTTCGTCGATATTGGCCACAGCAATTACTCCTGCTCCGTCGTCGAGTTCAAGAAGGGTGAGCTGACAGTCAAGTCGACTGCCTTTGATCGCCACTTCGGTGGCCGGGATTTCAACTTGGCCTTGGTCAACCACTTCCAGAAGGAATTCAAGGGCAAGTACCGTATCGACATCGCTAGCAACCCTAAGGCCACGGCCCGCGTGGAAGCTGCTGCCGAGAAAATGAAGAAGATTCTGTCTGCCAACCAGCAGGCCCCGTTAAACATCGAGTCGCTCATGAATGACATTGACGTTAATGGAATGATGACTCGGCAAGAATTCGAGGCCCTCGTCGAGCCGCTCTTGAATAAAGTCGCTGCACCACTGGAGCAGGCGCTTGCCGATGCCAAGCTGACCAAAGACGATATCGATTACATTGAGTTGGTTGGTGGCAGCACTCGTATGCCGGCTATCAAGGAAAGAATCCAGGCTTTCTTTGGCAAGAATCTGTCTTTCACTCTCAACCAGGATGAAGCCATCGCCCGCGGTTGCGCTTTCGCCTGTGCTATCCTGTCCCCTGTGTTCAAGGTCCGCGATTTCTCCGTTTCGGATATTGTCAACTACCCGATTGAATTCTCATGGGAGAAGGATGTGGATATCCCTGATGAAGATACGAGCTTGACCGTCTTCAACAAGGGCAATATCTTGCCTTCCACTAAGATTCTAACATTCTACCGGAAACAACCATTTGATCTAGAGGCACGTTACTCTAAGCCGGAGGATCTCCCCGGCAAGGTCTCTCCCTTCATTGGTCGTTTCTCCGTCAAGGGTGTCAAGGCCGACCCGAAGACTGAATTCATGATTTGCAAACTCAAAGCTAGGGTTAACATCCATGGTGTTTTGAATGTAGAAAGTGGTTATTACGTTGAGGACCAAGAAGTTGAAGAGGAGGTTAAGGACGAGAAGGAGGGTGAGAAGAAGGACACCGACGTAAGTTTGGCCCCTAAACCGTTCTGCTTGATTGACAACTAGTCGACACTTTTTTTGACGGGTGTATGGTGACTTCGACTGACTCGATTCCTCTTCAGGCTATGGAGACCGATGACAAGAAAGACGACGCCAAACCTAAGACGCGTAAGGTCAAGAAGCAAGTTCGAAAGGGCGATCTACCTATTGTTGCTGGGACGACGTCACTGGGCGTGGACACCAAGAGCACTCTATTTGAGAAGGAGGCGGCCATGATTATGGAGGATAAACTCGTCGCCGACACAGAGGAGAAGAAGAACGAGCTCGAGACATACATTTACGACATGCGGAATAAGCTAGACGACCAGTACGCTGATTTTGCCAGTGATGAGGAGAAGGACAAGCTAAGGTCTAAGCTCACCGAGACTGAGGTTGGTCTTACATGTACCTCTTTTGAATGACACGGAGATACTGACTTGTGTTAGGACTGGTTGTACGAGGAGGGCGAGGATACTACTAAAGCTGTCTATATCGCCAAGATAGACGAGATTCGTGCCATGGCAGGCCCTATCACTCAGAGATATTTCGACAAGGTAGAGGCGGACCGCCAAGCGCTGCAAGCGAAGCTTGACGCCGAAGCAGCTGCGAAGAAGGCCGCTGAGGCGGAAGCACATAAAGCTGAGCAGGAGAAGGGCGAGGGCAACAAGGACGAGGAGATGACAGATGCAGAGCCCACTAAACCCGAGGCTGAGGAGGCCGAATCTTAGATGTGCGTGCCCTGAAAGCAAAAGACGGGTGGATGGGGATATGGCGGTATACGGCATGAGAATATATGCCAGCATGGAAGAGTTTCGAAAAAGCAATGACTTCAACGGAGCTGGCCAGGACTGGATGGTAACATGGGTGTGGGATTACTTCTCGTCCAATCCTGACCGGGTATTGCGGCAGTTAGAGATAGACTACGGCCGCTCGCCCAGTATACGAGGGCGTCTGTAGACCTCAGATAGACCTGATCCGGATATGGATATTATCATGACTTAAAAGTCTTGGTCGATTATTCTGGCGTCTTGTATGAAGTGAGACCAAGATGCTAAGCTAGGCTTCTTTATCAAGGTATATAGGTTCACATAGGCTCACAATGCCCGAAGCCGGTATTACGGTATAGCTAAGTTGCAGAACAGCTATTATCTATCAGGCAGCCTAAGTACCTATAAGAATACGAAAAGTAGGTAGCTAGTTTTGTGCGAACAAATTATGATAATATGATTCGATTTGGTTACTTTACCCAGCCGCTGTCTTTCTAGACTTGGCAGCTTTTTAACACATGGTGTATTTGCTTTGGGACGCAACGATTATACCACACAAGTAATGGCACCACAGCTAGAAGTTATTGGACAACCACCTATCTATCTCCTTACACGAGGTACCTGGACACAGCTGCCAGGCGAATCACCGACCTCCCCGGTGCGCTCCCTCTCCGTCCCCCCACCTTAGTCGCCCGGTGCATCATAGGTCCACAGAAAGCGGCGAAATTCCATCGCTGGGGCCTCGTGGCGAAATGGCATCGCGTTAGATTTCGGTGAAATAAACTTGCCCTCTAAAGATTGTCGGTTCGAATCCGGCCGAGGTCGGCCCTTGTTCGCAACCATCCGAATTGGTGTAGTGGCTAACATTTGACGCTCTCATCTCCCGGCTCCCCGTGTTACTCGGGGCGACTGGAGGGGTTCCGTCAAGCCCGGGGTTCGATTCCCCGATTCGGAGTTGTCCTTAACCTTTTTTGGTCTTATCAGACAGAGTAAGCGGCCTAATCTGTCTGCCCAGTTTCTTTCTGGGCATGTTAAATGTTGGGATGATTGATGATGTTTTTTTTTTGGGTGCCTTGCCATATTTACAGATACCCATCATCAATCAAGTCACATTTTGTCGTCGTGGTATTTCTCTTATACGGCATTGATAAAATACCTAGGTTAGACACCTACCTACTTACCTTGTTTTGTCTTGCATATTGCACCGCCACATAGATTTCTTGTTTGCTGCGTATCGATAGACGATAAGACACATCCATTCCCGTCACTCGCTTAGGCTCTTATCGACTCCTGGCGCCCCGGGGCTTTTTGCCTTGTGTCGGTCCAGACAGCCTCAAATAACGGCATGGGAACAAATCACAAAATTATTTTACCCACTTCGAGCGAAACTGTGCAACTCAACTCCCCGCTAACGTCGTAAGTTGTTCCACCACCACCACCCGGGCAGCGGCCACCCACAATCCAACGGGCTCCACTACGAACCTCCTAGATCCCACCCAGTAACCCTCTCGCCATCCAGTGAGCGAGCTAGGTTGGAGTCCTTTTTTTTTTTTCGCCCTGCGTTCTGTTTGCCTTCGGAGATAAGCTGCAAAGAGCGGGCAATGTCTCGGAAGTTTCTGGGACGTGACTTTGGACCAGACCCATTACCTCCATGCTCTCCGGTCGTCTAGACATCGCAACCCTCCCCCCCACCTCGCCTCTCCCGCCAGCCTCTGCGCCTCCCGCCGCCACGACCCGGCCGAAGACAACCACTCACACTCCTTAACTTCCCATTTCCTGCTTGCTACGTAGCAGGACTCCGCGGTATCGTTGGAAGCATCTTTCGGTAGACCTAGACCCACCGGACCTCACAATGGCGCCCAAGAAGAAGGGAGGCAAGAAGGCGGCCGACGACTGGGAGGCTGACCTTGGCGAGAGCATTGTGCCGACGAACGGCGATGCTGCCCCCGCCGCTGATGCTCCAGAGGAACAGCCGGAGGAGGGCGATGCGCCCGTCGGTGGCCTCATGGCCATGATGAAGAAGAACCGAGAGAAGCGCAAGAAGAAGGGCTTGTCCGAGAACTTCGTTGACGGCGACGCCGCGCAACCTGCCACGCCTGAGCCCACCGACATCACCTCCTTCAAGGCCCCGCAGGAGGCTTCAATGGAAGACGAATTCGCCCTGCCGGAGAAGAAGGGAAAGGGTGGGAAGCAGAATAAGAACCAACCTGCTGCGAAAGCCGCCCCCGCCCCCGCCGACGATGAAGACGACGATGGTGAGTCCGGCAGGATACTCACCAAAGCCGAGAAGGAGAAGCTGAAGAAGGAGAGGGAGAAGCAAAGGAAAAAGGAGCAGGTTGGTGGTCCTGTCACTGACTTCAGGTGAAACCGAGTTCTAATGCTTGCTATCTCCCCATCTAGGCTGCCAAGAAGAAGACCACCGCACCTGCGCCCGCCGCCAAAGCTGAGCCCAATAAAGCCGCCGTTGAAGAAAAGAAAGAGGCTGCCGCTTCTCCTGCCGCGGCAGAGGCCCCCGCAAAAAAGGGTAAAAAGATCCCGCCACATCTAGCCGCTATCCAGAAGCAACAAGAGGAATTACGGCGGCAACGCGAAGAAGCCGAGCAAGCCGCTGAACTCGAAAAGACTCGTGTTGAAGAATTAGAGAAACAGGAAGCCGAGGAAGCCAAACGAAAGGAAGAAGAAAAGACCCGTAAAAAGCAGAAGGAAAAGGAGAGGATTGAACAGCTTAAGAAAGAAGGCAAATATCTTACTAAAGCTCAAAGGGAAGAGAAGGCTCGAAATGAGAGGAAATTACAGCAAATGATTGCTGCCGGGCTCCAGGTTGGACCTGCGGAAGATGGTGAAGAGAAGAAGAAGAAGCCTTCTTACGACAACAGAAAGCGTGGGAAGAAGAATGACCAAAAGGTATGTGTCCTGTTTCCTACAGCTGAATCATCGTGCTTACTCGTTGTATGTAGGTGGACGAAGAGAAAGCCCTAGCCGAAGCTGCTGAGCGGGCGAGACTACAGGCCGAAGCTGCGGCGAAAGAAGCTGAAGCCAAGGCGGCCGAAGAAGCTGCCGCAAAAGCGGCTGCTGAAGAAGATGCGAAGAAGGCGCAGGCAGAGGAGAAGGTCGATGATGATTGGGAGGCAGCCGCGGCGTCAGAGGACGATGTTAAAGAAAGCTGGGACGCTGATTCGGAAGAGGAGGCTGAAAAGAAATCTGAGGCGAAAACCATACCCTCACGACCTAAGCCAGCAGGGCAAGGGTCTGAATCTGATTCCGAATCGGAGGAAGAGTCTTCCGAAGATGAGGAGGAAACGGCTACCCGGGCTGCTGTCGCCCAACGTAAGAAAGAAGCTGCAGAGCGCAGACAGAAAGCACATCAGGCTGCTCTGGCGGCGAGATCCAAAGAAAACCTTCGCAGCCCTATCTGCTGTATCTTAGGCCACGTCGATACCGGAAAGACAAAGCTGCTAGACAAGATCCGCCAAACCAATGTCCAAGAAGGAGAAGCTGGTGGTATCACACAACAGATCGGTGCTACATATTTCCCAGGTTGGTCATCACACATTTTCTATGACTATGGCCGAGTTACTAATCTCTTTAACAAGGCGAGGCTATTAAGCAAAAGACTGCTGTCGTCAACCAGGACGGTAAATTCGAATTGAAAGTCCCAGGTCTTTTGATCATCGACACACCTGGTCACGAGTCTTTCTCTAATTTACGTTCTAGAGGTTCCTCGCTTTGTAATATCGCCATTCTGGTCGTCGATATTATGCATGGCCTTGAACCTCAAACCCTCGAATCAATGAAGCTCCTTCGTGACCGGAAGACCCCCTTTATTGTGGCACTCAACAAGATCGATCGTCTGTACGGTTGGAAGAAGGTAGATAATAATGGGTTCCAAGAAAGTCTGGCGCTTCAAAACCGAGGCGTACAAAACGAATTCAAGAACCGGTTGGAACAGACCAAGCTGGCCTTCGCCGAACAAGGCTTCAATGCCGAGCTTTTCTACGAGAACAAGGCCATGGCTCGATACGTTTCATTGGTCCCCACCTCTGCTCACACCGGAGAGGGTATCCCCGATATGCTGAAGCTCATCGTGGAGCTGACCCAGGAGAGAATGGTGGGCTCACTCATGTATCTTTCTGAGGTGCAGGCTACCGTCCTCGAAGTCAAGGCGATTGAGGGTTTTGGTATGACTATCGATGTCATTTTGTCCAACGGTATTCTCCGAGAAGGCGATCGGATAGTCGTATGCGGTGTTGAAGGAGCAATCACAACGAATATTCGAGCTCTGCTTACTCCGGCAGTTATGAAAGAACTGCGTGTCAAGTCCCAATATGTACACAACAAAGAGGTGAAAGCAGCTATGGGTGTAAAAATCAGTGCGCCTGGTCTTGAAGGCGCTATTGCTGGTTCTCGATTGCTCGTGGTTGGCCCCGATGATGACGAAGAAGACCTAGAAGAAGAGGTTGAGGCAGATTTGAACAAACTGTTCAGCCGTGTTTCTACATCAGGACGAGGTGTCAGCGTGCAAGCGTCGACCTTGGGCTCGCTTGAAGCCCTTCTCGACTTCTTGAAAGATTGCAAGATTCCCGTCGCCAACGTCGGAATTGGCCCTGTCTTTAAGCGTGATGTCATGCAGTGTGGTACAATGTTGGAGAAGAGTCCAGACTACGCTGTTATGCTCTGTTTCGACGTCAAGGTGGATAAGGAAGCCCAGGCTTACGCGGACGAGAACGGCATCAAGATCTTCACTGCCGATATTATCTATCATCTGTTTGACTCTTTTACGAAACATATGGAAGAACAACTCGAAAAGAAGAAGGAAGAGTCCAAGCTACTTGCTGTCTTCCCCTGTGTGCTCAACACCGTGGCTGTCTTCAACAAGACCAACCCCATTGTTGTGGGTGTCGATGTAGTAGATGGTAACCTCCGTGTGGGCACGCCCATAGCGGCTGTGAGACAGAATTCTACAACAGGCGCCAAGGAAATTGTTAGCATGGGCCGAGTGTAAGTTGATCATACCAAGACAAAAACTCACCTATTGTTTTTTTTTTTTTTTTTTTACTGACTATTTATACACAGATCATCGATCGAGAGAGACCATAAGCAGATTCCAATTTGCAAGAAGGGACAACCCTCGGTGGCCGTCAAGATCGAGATGGGTGGTCACCAACCAACGTACGGCCGTCAACTCGAAGAGTCTGACACGCTGTATAGCTTGATCTCACGTGCCAGCATCGACTGTCTCAAGGAGTTCTACAGGAAAGAAGTGTCGAACGATGAGTGGTCACTTATTATCAAGCTTAAGCCGTTCTTCGACATTAATTAAGGTGATAAACAGGGTGGGTAGGGTAACTATGGGAGGCTAAGGTAGGGGGGTTGCGGATGGTATTAAAGCGATATGCAGCATGCCTGGCTGGAGTCAGATAACATGGCATGGTTGCACACACATAGGGAAATGTGTGCTGCTGTGTCTTGACCTTCGCTTATCGGTAAACATGTATTTACGAGCGGATGATAGGGAAAATGGCTTACGGATAGTTCAGTCGAATTCACATGCATATGTCACTACCATGCGTGCTTTTTCCTTGGCTCGTTTCATGCTCGAGGACTTGAACAAACTTACAACAGATTTAGATGATTGCCTACTAGGTATTCAGTCTCTTGTATTATGTCTTGCTTATCTATACTACGTACTTCATTAGTTTTGCTTATCTTATTCAAATGTCAGTGTTCTCCGACAAACTTCTTTTGGCTTTTGCGTCACTAGATTGATTACCTGTCTATTTCATTGATCCATCCCTCGGTGTCCCAGCTACTCTGTTACTGAGATAGCCGCCATTTTCTGGATATCGGCAAGCATTTATACTATGTCTTTGTAGCTAACAATTGAATCATGTTGAAATCAAGCCTTGGAGCAATCCTCAAGAGGCGGGCGCTGGATGGATCGCGACGCTCACTGAC